GGGTCCCTTTCCTCCTTCCCTTCCCCCGTCCCACCCCTCCTATTCCGCCATTCTGATCCTCGTCCCCCCCCCCGACGTCCCCTCTCAATCCCCCATCCAGAATCACAGAATCATGCAGTCACCAAGGTTGAAATCACCAATAGCTCTCACTAATCCATGTCCCTCAACACAATGTCTCAATGTTCCTTGAACACCTCCAGGGGCGGTGACTCCACCACTGCCAGAGCAGCCCATTGCAGCGCCCAACCACTCTGTTGGAGCAGTAATATTTCCTAACATCCAGCCTGAATCTCCCATGGTGCAACTTGAGGCCATTCCCTCTCATCCTATCACTGTTACAGGAGAGAAGAGACCAACCCCCACCTCACCACAGCCTTCCTCAGGAGTTACAGAGAGCCGTGAGGTCTCCCTGAGACATTTCTTGCAGTGAGAGGCCCAGAACTGAGCACAGCACTCGAGCTGCAGCCTCACCAGAGCTGAGTGCAGAGGGACAATCACTTCCCTGCACTGCTGGCAGCACCGTTTCTGATACAGGCCAGGATGCCGTTGGTCTTCTTGGCCACCTGGGCACACTGCTGGCTCGTGTTCAGCTGAGTGTCAACCAATAACCCCAGGTCCGTTTCCTCTACACTGACTTCCAGCTGCTCTGCCCCACACCCATGGCGGTGCCTGGGGTTGTTGTGGCCAAAGTGCATCCCCAGTTGACCAGGAAGGCTGACAGATGATGGAAAGCAGCTTGGCTTTTCACCTCCACCAGCTCCCCCAGCACTCTTGGATGAATCTCATCTGGCCCCATGGACTTGTGGCAGTCCAGGTGGAACAGTAGGACTCTGTTTCCTCCTGAATTGTGGGGGGTTTATTCCACTCCCTGTCCGAGACTTCCAGGTCAGAGAGCAGAGAACCTAAGAGCTTTTTTTTCACCCTTGGCACTTCACATCCCGCGTGCACTGCAGCCTTCCCTTCGCTGATGCTGCTCTCCCCATGAATTGTTGGCAGGGGTCTAACGCCACCAGTCCTGCAGTTAGGATTTTGTGAAAGGGGCGCACCATTTGGCGTTGGGGTGCAACTTTGTGTTAAAGGAGTTAAATCTCTGGGCCTTGGGTTCAGGCTTTTGCTAAAGGGGTGCAGCCTTTTGTTCTTAGGGTTATGCTGCTTGGCAGCATTTGGCCTTGGGCTCCTGCTTTTAGTTTTCATTTCTCCTGTTTTGCATCTCTATGCCTCTCCAGGACTCCCTAGCAGAGACACTTTTTCTTTGCTGCAGCCTTCATGGACAAACTCCACTGAGCACAAGAGATCTGTGCAGACGCAGCAGCAGACGTCTGTGCGCAGAGGGACACTGCTCATCCCATTTCTCCTCCTAGCTACGTCTCGTCCCATTCAGTGTGTCTTGAGGGGGTGAATCTCTGTCCACCTCCTGAGTCGCGCCTCCCCTGGTCAGCAAAGGGTCACTACTGCAATGGAGTCATCCAAACTCAGAGGAATAATACACATCCATTTTTTGAGAGCTTTCTTAACAGCCAGCAACAACCAATTGGAGGTAACACTGGCCAATGGGCTATTTGCAATGAATAAGTGGTAGAGGTAAACAAAGAGTCAAATAAGAGATGGCAAAGAGAAAAGGCAGAAAATGGGGAAAGAGGGACAGACAGACAGCAAAGCACTCGTAGATCCAGCCACGTCCCGGTGTCAGGTGTGGATCTTCAGTCTGATGGGTTGTCGCAGGTGGTGCTGTTCAGCTGGCAACGACTCACGACGACAGTAGAAACTTACTGATAAGTCCAAAGCGGTGGCACTCGGCTGCCTGCCCACACTGCCCACAGCTGTGCCTGTGCACCTCTGGGGGGCAGGAGCACAGGAGAGGCCCCTTCCGTGGGGACAGACCCCTCTCCCCACGCCCCACCGCGCAGCCCCGAGCTGGGAAGGGTTACTGAGCAGGGCGGTCAGATGGGCAGCAGCCCATCACAGACCACACGCAGGGTACTGCTTGTAAAGTACACCAGGGAAGCAAATGTTGTCTGGGGCAGCACTCAAGGCAGGAGCCAATAGAAGAGCTCCTGGTCATAGTGCTGGGCGTACAGTACTGCAGAGCCCAGCACGACAACGAGTAGCAGCTGGAGGCAGACCAGGATGAGGCAGATCGTCCTGTGGGGCAAAAGGGAAAGAGGGCCGGGGATGAGGCATCCCCACCCCACAGCAGCACAGCCCCCACAGTGCCAAAGGGGCCGTTTGGGAGCCCCGCCGGCTGCAGTGGGGGGCCAGGCCATCAGCCCACTGCCAGGAGCCCGGCTGCTGGTGGCTGGGCACGGGGCAATGAGGGGACACTCACTGCATCCAGAAGGCGAGCCCCTGTCTCCTCGCCCGCTCCTTCTTCCCCTGTAGGTGAACATGGGGCAGAGAAGGTGGTCAGGCCCTGCTGCACAGCTGGGGCTCGTGCATGACAGTGGGAGCCTGGCAGCTCAGCAGCGCAGCCCCAGTGCTGCAGGGAGCCCTGTCCCCAGGGACACCCTTGTTGGACTTACTGGCATGATTTGCATTTCTCCTTTGCCTACTGGCAAGCATGCCCACTTCAGGGCACATCTCACCCCACTGTCAGTCCCTGTAAGAAACACTATGGCAAATCCGTCTGCACTAAACACAGTCCTTCCTTCCAACGAGCAACAAAGAAACCATTCTGTCCTGGCTCCTGACCCTTGTCCCTGCCTCCACCTGCCTTCAGAGTACAGCCATCTTCGCTTGCGGAGGGAAAAGGAAAGCGAAAGGGAAAAGGAAAGGGAAAGGGACAATGGGGACTCTTCCTTCCAAGACCCTTGGCTCTGACAGACTACATTCCTTGGAGCTTTGGGATCTCGAGTTCCTCATTTTCCAATGTCACGCTCTCTTCTGGTAGCACACAGAGCACACCAAAGCCCAGGATTTGGCAGCATTTGAAAGGCACAGTCATCTTCTCTTGAGGAGGG